GTTACAAATAAAAACAGTAAAAAAGGAATGGCTGGGCCAGGATTTAGCTCAGTGGTTCCCCTGTCTGCCTTGCAGGCGCAAGGTCCCAAGTTCAATCCCCGGTACCAAAGAAAAAAAGAATGGCTTATTTTACTACCAAAAGAAAACAAAAGTTAGGGGGATAAAATGAAGACAGGAAAGGTTATATTCAATGTGTTGAAAAATGTTTACCATCTAACAATTGCCAAGTGCTTAAGGAGTTGAGTCCTCTGGAAAAAGATAATCACAGCACAATTTGGTAAGTGCTACAAGGAGCTGGAATTTGAAAATGTGGAGGAGATAATGATGATTAATCAATCTGGGTCTTACAAAAATGGATAGTTGACAAAAGGGGAGTGTTCATCCGGGCTTTTCATCGGCATTGAGAACGGCACTTAGGAAGAGGGCGCCTGGTGTGCCAAACCAGGCCAGCAGAGACAGCAGGTGTCTAAGCAGGACATAAAGAGATCAGGTGTGCTTTTTGTTTGTTTAAGATAACTAGATTTGTGAGGAGGGCTAAAAAATAGTCAGATATCCCTAGGTTTCTCAGCTAGATTTTCTGGCCTGGGCCTCAGGCTTTGCTGCTCACTAGCTGTGTGCTCGTTTTTTTGTGCATTAGTTTCCTTGTTTGTAAGTGGGGCTACCGAAGGCCCACTGATTGATAATGTTGCATGGGGCAGATGAACTCATGTATGAAAGGCTCTCAGAACACTGGTGGTCTAACGTAGGTAGCTTGCCTTCCTCAAGGTGATGGCCCTATCCACACATCATTACTTCCTGCCAGTAAGTGGCCGATCTGCTGGTACAGGTCACACTGCTTTCACTTCAGGCCTCAGTGACAGATTTCTGTTTCTAAATGAGCAGTATCAAGCAAGATTTCAAAATTTAAGTGTAGTTGATAACATTTAATTCAGTTCGCAGAATACAGGCATTCAGTGCATGCTTCTTGTTAGGTGTTGCAGATACTCTTTCTGTTCCACCTTCAGAATGGGATCTGGAACTGTCCCAAAGATTGAGGCCCTGCCACCCTAAGGATCACTTTGTACAGATAAAAACACATGAAGAACATTGTTTTCAAGAAATTTACCTCCTTAATAATATTATTTATATTTAATTTTAATTAATATTTAATTTAATAATTTACTGCCTTCATTGCTTTTGTCCATTTCCACCAAAAGGAAGTGAGCTGTATGAAGGCAAGGATTTTTGTCTGTTTTATCAATGTATCACAAAGACCTAGAACAGTTCTTCCAGCACAGTAGACACTCAGCACATGCTTATCAAATGAGTTGACTATAGACATAGACCTCACTAGCTACACTGTCATGTAGGAATGTTACCCTTTTACTGCTAACTTCTTGGAACCTAACTAAAGAACATTTAATTACCTTTTTTAGTAATATCTGTTTTTTAATTACTTTTACCAGGTGACAAAGGTGACACCTGCTTCAACTGTATTGGAACTGGTGTTTCAGGGGCTCCAGGCCAACCTGGCTTGCCAGGTCTCCCTGGTCCTCCAGGTAAAATATTCTGACTAAGGATAGTCTTTTAAAAATATTTCGGGGGGGGGGCTGGGGATTTAGCTCAATGGTTCCGCCGCCTGCCTCACAAGCTTAAGGTCCCGAGTTCAATCCCCAGTACCCCCCCAAAAAAAAAAAATTTCTTGGCTAGGTTTTTGTGAGTTCATGATTTTAGGATATTGCCAGCTTCTCATTTTATAGCTAGTCACTCATATCTATAATAATTAAATATGAAATGCCTCTTTGCTATGAAATAAATGATGCTTTTCTTTCTAATACTTGAAACTACTAATGTTTTTTATTAAAGCATTTTGACAATTTTCTAGGAACTACACCTTCCCTATTTTTCATATGGAAAGGAAAACAACATATAGAGTCAGACTTCTTTCTTCAAGAAAACTGGGGGAAAATTCATAATGCCTGGCCCCCAAGTATAGTTTTCAGTGTCACACTTTTAGTCATTGGGAGTATGTAACATGTATCATTACAGAAAGGATTTTCTATTGGAGTTTGGCAATCTATTGCCATTCCTGTCTGTATATATACAATAACACCCTTCTCATTTCCTAATCAAAACCATATTGATTATCTCAGACCCACAACTGTTTTATTCAATTGTCTTGTGGTATATCCCCATATTATTTTCTTTTGAGGTCACACCATGTCTGTGTTAAAGCTGTGAACAGACACCAGATCTCTTACCCATCTAGTGTGCCTGCCAAGAATACCAATTCACAGGGAGCTTGGAAATACTTCCAGCAAGTCTTATAGCTGTCACTAGAAGTTAGTAATTTAGCTTTTTGTCTCTATTCTAGTGGTTTTCAAACTTGGAAGTACATCAAAATCATCTTGAGGACTTATTAAAACCAAGGTTGCTTGGCCCTGTCCACAAGGTTTCTGATCCAATAGATCAGGAGTGGGCCATTCTTAGCCCAGGAGTCAACATTTTTAAGTAGTAACCAAGTGCTGATGATGAAGCTGATCCAGGGATTCATTTTGAGAACCACTGCTTTAATAATGTTTTCTCTAGATTTTCAACACCAAACTTTTCTCATAAATCAAATTTTAGGAATTACCAACCAAAATAAGAACTGGTAAGGATGTAGGAAAAATATATAACTCAGAGTAAAGATATACAGGCTTCTTCCTTATCTTCTTCTACCCTGGGCAGTGGAATGGTTTTAGGAATTCAAGCATCACTTCAAGCTTTGAGAAAGGAAAGGGTACTTTGAAGTTAAAAATATGTGAAGATACAATATTGTATATAACATGAACTGTTTATTTTTTAAAAGGATGATTTCTTCATTTTGAGAAGGCAAAACAGGAAAATAAAAAATGTGATATGAATGAGATAGAATGGGGCTGTTTTATTTTAAAACTTAACTTGTTGATTTTTATATGTTTTGTCAGAGGTTCAAGTTCAAAGCTCACATTTTGTGTGTGTGTGTGTGTGTGTGTGTGTGTGTGTGTGTGTGTGTTCATGCTAGGGTCTCTTGGATTCCCTGGACAGAAGGGTGAAAAAGGACAGGCTGGAGCAATCGGCCCGAAAGGATTACCAGTAAGTTTTGGGTATATATTAAAATCAAAAAGAAGTAGTT